GTGAAATCGCAATGAACCACCCCTTTAAAGATATTAAAGTGAATTCAACAAGTATAGTAAAACATTTTTTGTCATGACTAACAAAAACTACCTGAAGTCGTGTCTTTAACAGGTCTATTGGTGCTGTCACAGTTCTAGACACAGCATCTGCCAATCCTGCGGCCAATATAAAGTTCCCCCAGATAGACAGGTCAGTCTCCTGCTGGGTTAACTCAACAGGCATAGAGCGACTCTCTCCTACATCAAACACCTAAAAAGACAACCTCCTTTTATAAACCTGGTTATGAACATTGCAGATTAAATGTATACGTGCAAAATAGTAATAGTTTCACTAAAAATGACAATTTCATCTTTTACTCATGTCACACTTATGTACAACTTTTCTGCAGAACACAATGATTTTTAGATTGTAATCTCCACGCAAAGTCTGCATACAAAGTTTGAAGCTCCAAAAAGCACATAAAGGCATGTATAAACAATTCATATGGCTCCAGTGGTTTAATTAGTGTATGCCGAGGCGATTTAATCACTTTTGAGGGAACACACCTAAATGTCACTCATGAAGCTGAAATATTTAGTTTGTGTTCTGCAGAACAGATAAAGTCTTACACATCAGAGATGACACTGGGGGTGAGTAAATATTGAGAGAATTTTCCTTTTATGTGAAGTATGTCTTTAAATGTATTTTTTAAGTATTTAAAAGCTGGTTTTTACCAGGTTATGTTTCCAGGAAGATACCAACTCTCCAATGTTTTCTGCTGGGTTAATGATGACGTGCTGGAGGAATTCCTCCCAGTCTACCGTCATAGAGTTGTCTTCATCCATCCTAATGACAATCAGAATTTAACGTTAATAATCTAGCTGATTAATAACATAATCAATACAAATACGCATGCATGTCATGCATTTAACTTAACCCAATTAATCCCAAATTTTTCCCAGACATGAAAATATCCAAATGATGTGTCATTAGTAACCCTTTGAAATAATCAATAATTATTTTTTTAATTTTTATTTTTGGAAAAGTGTGTGAAAAATTGTTTTATGGTCGGTCACAATTGTGACCGGTGGGATAATGTGTACTGAATTAACATATTTCTGCACTCATAAAAATTGTTATATATCTTAGCCCAGCTATTTTAAACTGTTTGATCACATTCTAGGGTTACTATTATGCATAAAAAAACCTTAAAGGAACACTCCACTATTTTTGAAAATAGGCTCATTTTCCAACTCCCCTAGAGTTAAACAGTTGAGGTTTACCGTTTTCGAATCCATTCAGCCGATCTCCGGGTCTGGCGGTAGCACTTTTAGCTGTAGCTTAGCATAGATAATTGTATATTAGTGCTACCAGTATTACAACATTAATATTGTAACTTATTTGTTACATTTGAACTTTTAATTTAGTGCAATTGTTTGTCACTAACAACTGCTATTGGATTTATATTGTAAACCTAAGTTCACTGTTATCCCACCGGTCACTATTGTGACCATCAAGATGTTTACTCATTCTATGACCACACTCAACAAAACTGACTATATGTGAATTCATGTATTAATACTAGAAACCTCAAAGATAATGTGTACCAAAAATCTTTGTCATATCTTTATGTTAACAGCTAAAAGTGCTACCGCCAGATCCGGAGATCGGCTGAATGGATTCGAAAACGGTAAAACTCAACTGTTTAACTTTAGGGGAGTTGGAAAATTAGCCTATTTTCAAAATTAGTGGAGTGTTCCTTTAAACAGCATTGATAGGAATACTGAGATAAAATACAAAAAAATACAACCATCAACGTATTTCAACATTTTTACTTTTTTGTAACATATATCACCAAATTTGTATATTAGTGCTACCAGTATTACAACATTAATATTGTAACTTATTTGTTACATTTGAACTTTTAATTTAGTGCAATAGTTTGTCACTAACAACTGCTATTGGATTTATATTGTAAACCTAAGTTCACTGTTATCCCACCGGTCACTATTGTGACCATCAGCATGTTTACTCTTTCTATGACCACACTCAACAAAGCTGAATTTATGTGAATTCATATATGAATACTAGGCACCTCAAAGATAATGTGTACCAAAAATCTTTGTCATATCTTTATGTTAACATACTTTACTAGCCTTTTGTTTTGGAGCTTTGATGCAGCCATCACCTTCTCATGGCGCAAACAGGAAATAAACTGCTTTGGTCATGTGACAATTTGCACTAACCATGTGAAACTGCACATATTTAATTGAGACCCTTTATTTTTTCCATATTTCCAGGAAGTGCACGAAAACATCAGTCAATAAGGTTTTTAGAGCTTTATAAATGAAAACCTTTTTCACGGTCACTATCGTGACCGGTGGGATTAAATGGGTTTTAAACTGTGTCAGAAAACAAAGTCTCTTTGAGATTTACATAAACCTGTAGGCTATATGTCAAAGTATCTGCCTCATCTGACACACATGGAGTGATCTTGATGTTTGTGACTTGGTAAAATATTGCAAATGTGAAGGCAACACCATCAGGCCTCTTACATTTGAATGATCCGCTTTGCGTTGGGTTTTGATATGACCAAACCTAATTCCTTAAACAGAGACATTATATCCTCCAGGTCAATGGACCCTATAAAAGATGAGATTATACAAATAATTCTTGTTACTTTGTTTTGTGCACCTAGAGCACATTTTACACTTCTAAACAAAGACCAGATATAAAACATAAAGCTGTTTCAAACAGAAAATATGGATATTTGTCACAGACAGCTTACCACATTTATTTCTGTCAAGGGCATGGAAATCTATTTTCCATTTCTTCTCTTTGTCCATCATGTAAATAAGAAATTCCTGATAGCTTAGACGTCCATCCTCATTTTGGTCATAACTGGACATGATAGCCTAAACGAAAGAATTGCATTTACTGACAATAATGGGTCCCACTTTATATTAAGTGGCCTTAACTACTATGTACTTACATTTAAATTAATCATTTGGTGCAATGCACTTATTGTGTACATACATGTTTTTACATTGTACTTATATTTTAAAAATACCTGCATGTAATTACATCTGTAATTAATTTCTGTAATTACATTTATAATTACACAGTTGACCCATCCCTTACACCTTAACCCACCCTTAAACCTATACCAACAAACCTGTCCCGAACCTTACCCCTATCCCACCTCAATAGCAGCAAAATGTTTTGCAATACAATATGAACACAATAAGTACATTGGACTGATTTTTTGATGTAAGTACATAGTAGTTAAGGCCACTTAATATAAAGTGGGACCCAATAAGGTAATCCAGATACATATGAATAGTTTTGGCTACATCTCTACAAATGTTACTGGGCTAAGATATATAACAATGTTTGTATGTAATTCCACACAAAGAAGTCTTACTTGAACCTTTTCACAAACTGGTTCCACACCTATCCTTCGCATTTCACTCTGCAGCTCCTCTGTAGATATAAACCCGTCTTTATTCTTGTCGAGTTTATCAAATAAGCCGCGGAAGTGATCCATGGTTAATACTGTTGTCCAATGTAAAAGAAAAATGGTCGTATTTAAATGATACGTTAATAGTTTTAAGTAAGTCTGTTGGTTTAATTTGTGGTGAATTACTGTATGTTCACCTTATTTATTCTGATAATGCTGAGTCACATCTCTCGCCAGAGAATGGAGTAATGCGGTGGTCTTGAATACCAGCATCTCACAGGGAAAATTCATGCTATACCGATGCTAACCAGCAGATGGAACTGTGGTGTTATTATATGGATAAGCAGTGCAGTCAAAATTGTAAAGTCAAGTCAATATTGTTTACAGACCAAACATGGTTATTTCTAGTTATTTCCTTTATGTTGTATTAGACTCGTTATCTAATATTTTTTCAAAGATTGCTTCAAGTATGCAAAGCAGGTCTGAGTGAGGAGAAGGTTGGGATGCGGAGGAAACTGGATCTTTTTCTGGCAGGCTGCCACCTGCCAGCGAAAGATTGAACTACTATTCTTAGAGTGGTGCCTTTTATTATCTCATATTTAACATCTATTTTCAGAAAATGACGTCTAATAGCCTGCATCCATAGCAACTTTGATTATAGCTACAACACAATTGTAGCATTACAGTTTTAGAGTAGGTAAAGCTATATGCTAGCCTATTATTATTATTGTTTTGTTTTATTACTATTGTTTTAGTCTAAAGGTTTAGAGTGATCTGAAGGACAGATGGGGTTAAATTGACCGGATGGCAGACAATATAATACTATATATGAAGCACAGCCTAGAGAAAAACAGAACGATCATTAAAGGCTACTGCAGCTAATGAAGCAGCATAAGCTAATTTTGAAAAGAAATGTTACCTATGACCTACAGTAAGCATACTGATGATTCCTTTTTGAAATATATATCAGGCTTTCTTTAATCGACATACAATGAAAGACAGAGTCAGGTAACAGACATAGATAGATAGCCTAGATAGATTATGTTGATTATATTTGATTTATGTTTATTTAATGTTTTTTTTTTTACGTATGTTTCCCTGGTGGTGTTTTGTGTTTGTTTAATACTGTGCTCTGTCTATTATTAGCCAGTGTACATGGAAAGTTCAACTTTGATGAACTACATCAAAAGATTAAGTCATCAGATGTTTTCTTTTTTCCATTTTACCACGTGTATTATTATGATGTTGTGTGAATATATTTTAAGGCACAAATCAGATTTTAGTGGTTCAAGGTTAGTATAATAACATTGTATCATCTACTGAAATGTACATTATGAACTGTAAAATATACAGCCACTAAAATGCCATCCCATAATCCTCATGACAGACAGACAGACAGACAGATAGACAGATAGATAGATAGATAGATAGATAGATAGATAGATAGAAAATCTTCACAACACAAAATTTTCTCGGAGACACATCGTTACTCGTGCTCGAGTGAATTTAGATTTATCTGAAATGGGAAATGACGTGCCTCAGCTACGTTCTAGAAAGTACACTCTGATTCCAGAGCTGCACTGGTACAGGGGAGGGAGCAATGGCTATTTAAAGAGGGTAAAATAACACAAGATCTTTAGTGCTGAGTAACCGCCTCCAAACAGACACAACAGGATTAACTGATCATCCGTATCACGGTTTAAAGTGGCAGGTTTTGACACCGTAGTCGGTGCATTTATTCAACTTCGAATCCTCGGGAAGCGGGTCTGCATAGGAGAAAATGGCCAAAGATTATTACAAAATATTGGGAATCGCAAAAGGAGCATCAGACGACGACATCAAAAAGGCGTACAGAAAACAGGCTCTGAAATGGCATCCTGACAAAAACAAGACGGCCAATGCGGAGGAGAAATTCAAGGAGGTCGCGGAGGCTTATGAAGTTCTTAGTGATCCAAAGAAAAGAGAAATATATGACCAGTACGGCGAAGAAGGTAGACTTGCTTCATCTCTGTAACATCCGTAATAACAGCGAAAATATGAATGCTTAATCCTTCTGTCTGCTAATCTCTTAAATGTATCGGATGTAAATGTAATGAAAACGAATTCTCAGGACATTTACCGAACAGTATGCTATACAAAGTTGACCATAAGGAGTCATGGTTTATTGTCCTTTTCGGTGCTCAACCAACATTCTTTAAAATCGGGAAAAGACTGTATATGTTCTGTATTTAAGCGTCGAAATTGCATGTCACCGCTGTTGTAATTATAGGCTCTGGTTTGACGTGCACATGATTTATGTGTGTTTATTTATTAAGAGCAGTGTTGGGGAGTAACTAGTTACATGTAACGGCGTTACGTAATTTAATTACAAAATAAATGTAACTGTAATCAGTTACAGTTACTAAGAAAACATGTGTAATTAAATTACAGTTACTTATGAACATGTCAACGATTACAAAGGGGATTACATTTGAATATTTACACACATCCACATACAGATTTAATTGATTTATTTCCCAAATTGCACTGACTACTCTGAGACATAATTTCCGCGATGCGGTATGAGTACATGAACACAAAAACATAATCTCTAGAATTGCTCTGAGTCACTTCATGAGCATTTTACTTATTTTGAGAAAACTATCGTCATATCATATACAAAGACACACCAGTGTTTCAGGAGTTTAGTACACAGAATAGGACACATGCTTATTAGATAACCGTATTTGAGTTGATGTATTTGCTTTTATTTATTATTATTTTTTAATTAACTTTTTTTTTCCAAACCATTGTTAGATGCAGTGTTTCTGCATCTAACAATGATAGTGTTTGTATCTATTAAAAACAGTATCAGTAAACTATTTCTTATGATTTTAAATCTGCATTGAACTTCAGATCAATCTCAAAGTAAAAGGCGGTACTAAAGTCTGATTTTGTGGTGGATGTGTTCAAATTTGATCATCTTAATTCAAGTGATGAAGGATTTTGAAAGTCTGACAGTGTTGAGCACTACTGTAAGGTTAACCCTGCATGGTGTAAATGTTTGAAAATTATTAACAGTTGCAAATAAACATTCATTAAAAATTTAGAAAAGTAATCAAAAAGTAATCAAAAGTAATCATTTTTTAAAGTAATTAAAAAAGTTACACTACTATTACATTTTAAATAGGGTAACTTGTAATCTGTAACCTATTACATTTCCAAAGTAACCTTCCCAACACTGATTAAGAGTAGCCTACTGCAGTGGGATGCATAGTAGGCTAATTAAAGCCTTTAACATCATGGGCCCTGTGGCATAAATCTTCCTCAGTTTTTTTTCCAGAGATAAAACGTGTGTTCTGTAAAATCTGTGCATTTTAGGCCTTAAAGGAGGTGGAGGGGCGACCGACGGGCCAGGAGGCAACTTCACCTACACCTTCCATGGAGATCCTCACGCGACGTTTGCCACGTTTTTCGGGGGAGCCAATCCTTTCGAGATATTTTTTGGCAGGAAAGTCAATGGACGAGATGACGATGACATGGAGGTGGACGGAAATGACCCCTTTGGTTCTTTCACGAGTTTTAACATAAATGGATTTCCACGCGAGCGGCACGTTGGTCAGGGCGGCCCGCCGCGCAGAAAACAGGACCCCGCGATCCACCACGAGCTCCGGGTGTCTCTAGAGGAGGTCTTTCACGGATGCACCAAGCGCATGAAAATCTCACGCAAGCGCTTGAATACAGACGGTCGGACTTTGAGAAACGAGGACAAAATCCTCACTATTGAGATCAAGCGTGGGTGGAAAGAGGGAACCAAAATCACGTTTCCACGCGAGGGTGACGAATCGCCTAATACTATTCCTGCCGATATTGTGTTTGTCATTAAAGACAAGCCCCACGCCCACTTTCGCCGAGAGGGGTCTGATATCGTGTACCCGGTCCGGATCAGTTTGCGCCAGGTGAGAGAAGCCACTTACAAATTAATTTGTCCATCCATCCATCCATCCATCCATCCAATCGCCTAATACTATTCCTGCCGATATTGTGTTTGTCATTAAAGACAAGCCCCACGCCCACTTTCGCCGAGAGGGGTCTGATATCGTGTACCCGGTCCGGATCAGTTTGCGCCAGGTGAGAGAAGCCACTTACAAATTAATTTGTCCATCCATCCATCCCTCCATCCATCCATCTATCTATCTATCTATCTATCTATCTATCTATCCATCTGTGACTGTCTGTCTGTATGTTTATTCATCTGACTCTAAATGTCTATCCCTCTTTCCATCCATCCGACTCTAAAAGACAATATATAGATAATATAGATTTTCACCTTAATTATTCAGGTTTTTTTTTTTTTACTTCCAAAAGCATTTTTTTACAGCATGTTACAATAAAAGTACATGGAATATAATTTTCAACCATATATGGTAAGTTAAATCACAGCAGGGCTCTAAAACTATCTATCTGTCCATTCATTCGTCCATCTGACTGAAAAATGTTGTCTTGTTTAACATAATATAGATTTTTCACCTTGAAAATTATATGGTAATTCATTACTTTTACTTCCAATAAATATAATTTAAACAGTAATTATGGTCAAATTAGGCCTACAGGTATTAAACGTATACCTGTTATTTATCCCATTAAATGCAAGCAAATTTTCCACAATTTATGGTAGGTTATGGTAGGTACAGTTTAGCATGTTAAATTGCCAATTAACATGATTTTACTGTAGCATTTTGTGTCAATTTAAAAATATAAACACTTTTACAGTCTATGGACCTATCTATCTGTGGAGGTTTGTATAAGGCAAGGTTTTGTACATTTGCTTAGCTAGAAATGTCAAATTCTTTGTGTGAAATCTCGTTTCTTACATAATGCAGTTTGGACAGGAAGGAATATGAGCTCAATCAGCTGTTGTGAGATGCCAGAAAAGGAGCTCGCCCACTTAAACCGTTACAGACCCATCAAGATGTACATATATGGCAGAATCATTGATAGACAGTGCTGTGTCTGTAAATGTCACGACACAGAGTGGCCGTCAAACCAGTAAAATATGTTTTCAGGCTGTTGGATGGGATATAGGCGACAAAAGGGAAAAAGTTGGATGCATTTTTGCACACAGTATCTGCAGTATAGCCGAATGAATTGGAATTATAGTAGGTATTTGCCCAGGTTACTGTCATAATGTGAAGTTTCATACTGTTCCCAGCTTCATGTCCTGATGCTTGTCATTTTAAGAAGAAAGTGTAAAGAACATACTGTGAATCAAGATCGATGAATAAGATGAAAAATCAAATTAAATGAATGCATATCTAAAAGCAGGTTCAATTCAGTTACAGAGTTACTGTATCAGAGTTGAAAGTGTCTCACACCAGACATCTATTAAAACAGTCAATCATTTTTTATAAGTCGTGGCCTAATGGTTAGAGAGTCGGACTCGTAACCTAAAGGTCGACTAAATTATACAGATCGATTTGTTTGCCTTTTACAAGTAGATCCCATCTGTACTGACAGATAATGTACTGTTATTCTTTCTAAATGCACAATATGATATAATTTTAGTAAATGATGGCTTGGAGTGAACTGTGATGGTGCCATGGATACGTGCCTTCAGCATTTAGCAGGACTCTACTAATGCCTTTTCAGATCTGATTCGTAAGATCCTTTTAAATGTGAGCAACGGACTCACATAATGTAACTGTCTTTGACAGAGGCCAAAAATTTGGTTACTTGTGCTGTGGGTTCATATCATGTTTATTCATGGAAAGTTTGGAGAGCGTTTGCATTATTAGAATTACTTTATCTTACATTGACTACTAGTGCATTGTGTTGAAAGTGTATGGTTAAATCGTTATGATACAATTTAATAAAATTGTACAACTACTGTACACGTGATTCATTGAAATATCCGCCAGAGGACGCCACATGTTCAAAATCAGACTACGTGAGGGAAATAAGGTCCAAAATAGTCAGCAACCTTTGCTACATCAGAATTAGTCATCGTATCAGTGATGGATATGATTTCTCAAAGCAGAAACGAGATTTTAAATCTCAGTGAAAACAATGATGGCAAACAAGACTAAACGATTAAAAGAGAATGGCACGAAGATGTAAAAAATGATTTACACACTACTGAGCGAAATAGATTAGGCCTATTAGAAATGCAAAATGAGTATCGGTTATCTAGCTATAGTTTCTACACTCCTGTAACTGTTGCGTAATCTGACTTTTGAGAGGAAAGTGTATCTTTAGTACTATTTATGGTATAATAATCGTTATTGGTAGGCGTATGTTTATCTTCCTCTGCTTTCACCGGTTGGAGTTTTAAAAAAAAAATTTATTGACACCTGAGCCAGGTAAATGAGTTTCTGGATGACGTCACGGCGTCCTGTAGCGCGCTTGCGTTCGGCCATAGAGTTGTTCATTGTCCTGAGCCTCAACCGCAAGAGAGTTTACAGTAGAGCCGCACACCGTCTACTTCTAATCTATTATCCGTTGAATACTACCGTTTTTAAACCCTGGCTCGGTTTCGAAGAGTGGGAACAAAAAGGACACGTTCAACAGGTTGATTTGCGTCCTTCAATGCTTTAGCTGTCCGGTTCCCGTGTTCTTCATTCCCCCCACGGATTTACAGGAGGAGCGAACATGCCTTTGGGACTCAGGAAAAAGAAAAACAAGTCGAAGGAAAGCTCGAACTTAGTGGAAAACGAGGAGGTCAGCGGACACGCAGGTGTTGGGAAGTCCGCGGTGAACGGTGGCGGTCTGCCTGCTCCACCTGCCAACATGCGACCGAAACTGGTGTTTCACACGCAGCTCGCGCACGGGAGTCCCACGGGCCGGATCGAGGGCTTCACGAACGTCAAAGAGCTGTACGGCAAAATAGCAGAAGCGTTTAATTTACACCCGGATGAGGTAAATGTCAACTTGTTAAATATATTTCAAAATCTCAGCGTGTACTCGAGTCAGTACGCAGGCGGTGATGAGTCAGAAATTAATTACACAAACGAAGTTGCAAATCAAAAACCACGAGCCTGGTGGTGTTTGCATAAGGTGCGTCTTTCTGGGTAAGTTACAGGGAACTGAAAATCGAGGGACGTCGTTGACATTTTTGTCTGATGATAACCAGCTTTGGTTTTCAGAAATAATCGGTGTTGGTGGTAACGCATTACAAGTAACGCGAGTTACGTAATCAGATTACTTTTTTTTTCCAAGTAACTAGTAAAGTAACGCATTACTTTTTTAATTTACAAGAAAATATCTGAGTTACTTTTTCA